TTTGTGACTGGAATAAAAACTTTGATTTTAGCAGAAATATTTTTTAATTTATTCTCTCTCTCTCTCACTCTCTCTCTCTGTCTTACACTGATATTTTTATACGACTATTTTTTCTTTTTGCTTTATTATATCTTTTTTACAAGATTTTCTTGCGAATTTATATTATCATAAATACTTGCCATCAGTACAGCTACACTAATTTGTGCTGTCGTATGCTTATTCATACAAATCTTTTTATATATCTACTGTGATGGTTTAGAGTCTTTTATTGCGACCGAAATAACCGTTTAACAAATTCGTAGATTATAATTAATTCAAGCGCGAAATTCCCGCGAGAGGCCACGATTTTTTTTACTTTAAACATAAATCTCAAAAGAGTAGTATAACCAGTATGAATCACTTTTCTTTTTTAAGTACAGGGAGCCATAAGCTTTAAGAGTGTAGTTTATAGGGGAAATAATATGGTTAATGTGAGACTTAAGACGTCAAAACGAATGACGTTTCGTCGTAGTTGCATTCTAGTTCCACACGAATGTAGGTTTTGTTAAGACAATATCGATATAAATATATATATGTATATATCAACGCTGTATTTGTATAAATAAATTATTGTTATCGATACAGACTCCACATCGATGCTGTTTTCATGTTGTACTTGTCATTACTTTACATTTACAATACATCACGGATTAATGTAAGAATGGTAATATTTCATAGATGTAATAGTTACATAACAATCTTGGACTCATTAATTGCGTTTGTTTATGTATGCGATTTACTTACCTATTATCTGAGAGTCAATGTCCCCAGCCCGCGTTTCACTTTACAAGGAGCGCAACACAAACACGAGGTACTGAGTGACGAAATTGCAATTTATCCCTCGTCGTAGATCGCACAGATTGTGTATCCTCCGTAAAGTGCTAATAATTGCTTTGCTTAATCACGCATATTCCTAGAACAGGCACATCTTTACGACATAAGTTTACGTAACTCTGTATTATGAAATTTCTAGATTTTCGCCCTGTCCGTGTTACATACTTGGCATCGTTTAATCGTGCGTTACGTGTTTGCAAATCGTGATAAAGATATATTCCCTCGTGTGCATAAGTTTCGGTCAGACATTTGACAGTTTACCGAGAGTCAGACGTGACTGTTTTACGATCCCTACAATGAGATTTGCCGGATGTACATACGTAATAGGTCATTCATATATTTCACAATCTTACAAGGATGATATAGCAAGAATTTATAAAATAACGTTATAGAATAAATTTTCAATCTTGTAAGTGACAAAAAAATAGAGTATATTAATTTTATGAGCACTCATTGTAACCTTATATCATAATTATACTTTACAATTATGACATTTGAAACCATGATTGTATGTATACTTAATATACACGAAATGCATCAGTAATGTGATAACTTTAATCAGTATCATGACTCATATATTAACAAATAATTCTATGTTAAATAGAACAAATAAGTGATCTTTTTTTTATTTTTTTATTATATTTTTTTAAATTTTTGTCTATCTTTAAATAATTATAGATACAATCTTAATATTTGAATAAGTTTTGTGATAAAAATTAATTTCCTTTTGTTTATAGACAGTTTAAAACATTATAAAGACATTGTGACTTCAAAATTTACATAAACAGAAATCAAAAGTAGAAACCAACAAGGCAAATGAGAGCATAGCTCAGTTATTAATATGCAAAATAATATTATAAAAAATTTCAACTCCTTTATTCCAAAATTTATGATGTCATCTAAATAATTTGTACGTTTTGACTCACTTTCTTGTCCACCTCACAGTGAAATACAAAATTAGTGTGTATATATTCTCTGTATGTCAAAATTGAATCAACAAATTGTTTTATTTTTGTGTACATTTTTGAAATAATAACTCCAAACGTGAATTAATAGTACTAAAAATAAACTCAGTAGGGTAATCATTCTTTAATAAGGTATTCCCTTGTAAAAAAGTACTATCACGCAGTAATATTTTGAGGCACTACTGTACTACTGCACTATTATACTACAGCAGTAATGTAGTGATGCAATAGTGCAATAGTGCAATAATGCCGTAGCGCCTCAAAACACTATTTCTTCATATTCATATGCAAAAAAATGATCTTAATTTGCGTTCTGACATTGAAGGCTTACATCATACTTATTTACTTTTAATGGATGCAATATAGATTTTATCGCTTATTTATGTCTACCATATATATCTATCATTTAACTTAACTGTTTTTAAGTGTTTTGTGTATGTGACATACACATTCCCTTTTTTAAATATTTACTCTATTAATCAGTATGATATATCCGAAAAAAAAAAAAATTTATCAGTTATGTACATGACGCTCTACTATACGGATGTTTTCTGGTTACATTATGTTTGCGATGATGTTTAATTTCGATATTAATTGTGATTCAAAGCTTTAAAAGGGTTCCTGTGTTTATTAAGGTAAGGCTCTTTCTTATTTTAAATTATTTTAATATTTTTAATTCTTATTAATTATTGATAATTTAATATATTGTTAACAGATTTCTGCTACAAATCTGGCAATTTGTTGATGGCTCAATTTTCAAATGCAGAGGATGTACACACACTAATTTTGTATTTCCATGCTGAGGAGAACACCAAAGTAAGTCGAAACGTACAAATTATTTGGATAACATCATAAATTTGGAATAAAGGAGTAAAAATTTTTTACTTTGTTACTTTGCGTACTGATAACTGTTTTGTTCTCTCATTTGTCCTATTACAAGATTACTTTTGGAGTAATATAAATTAGAAACTTCAATAACGATGATTATGAATTTTGACATTAAAAATTTATATAACAATATGTAATATTTAAATATTACTATGTAGAACTATAATGTAAAAAGAATTCATTCCAATTTCACATGATAAAATTCATCGTATGATTTAATCTCATAATGTGACAATATAAATGAATCAAGCGCTTCTAATTGCACTTTCGAAAATATGGTGTAGGAGCGCTCCATTTATTAACCTCGCCTCGTGGCCGGTGACCGTTAATTACATCAATTTCAGCAGATAAATGAACGCGTGCGTACATGATGATTAATTCAAGCCAATTTTACTCGTGAATTTAAATGCAAGTCGTCGACATCGTGTCACATTCAATTAGGAACAAGTTTTATTAGAAAATTCTTTTGTATATCGCCGCCAATTTAAACAAGCAGTTTCTTCCGAATAATAGAGCGAGGAGAAGATTAAGAAGTGAAACTGAATAATAGGTTTTCAATTAAAAGATGCTTCTATTATACGACTTTTAATTTAGTTTCCTTTGCATTGTGTTTTAGAACTTATTGTCGTATACGTTTTTTGTATCTTCTTCGCATAATATTCTTTGCATTTCAGTTTATTATGTAGCGGAAGAGTTCGTGAATAGCGAATACATGAAAATTATATGAATATGTGTGAAAAATGATTATATCTATAATTTTTGAAGAAAAATGAGAGAGTATACACTAGAAGAAAAAATTGGCTGGATATGGCACAGTATTTTACCATCTAAATTGCTGCAGCAACCAATCTTTTCTTTCCATGTAGAATTCTAAATATTTTCCTGCATTTTTGTTCTCAAATAGGAATATTAGTGATAATAAAATCGTCAAGAATGATTCAGGGAAATCTGTAATAGATTTCCGCATTATTACAATATGATCGAATTACTGTGTAAAGAGCGAATGAATATTTTCTAAAAAACATTATTAATTAATAAAATTGTGTTTCTTCTTGTGATTTATATCTTCTTTATAATTTATTTCTAAGAAAGGAAAATTACATCAATTAGTGATAATTCTGATGATAATTTTGGAAAAGAACAGATAAGAATTAGACTTGCAATCATTTGAACATTTTTTGCAAACATTTTTAAAAAATGCAAATAATTGTAGAATAACTTCCTGAATTATAAAATATGCTAATTAGAAGAAAAATTAAATCGTTACATCAAATGCGCATAAACACAATATATATCAATGAATATACTATATACGAGTATCAAGTATTTTTTATCGTTTCCCCCAAAAAATATTTCTTATATCTCATAATGCTATCATCAGTCTAATTAAAATTTTGCGGTATCATCGCATTAAATTATGATTACATCGATTTAATTAGAAATAACCCGCAAGAATAATACAGTTGATACAGGTGTCAAAAGTAATTGACTCTTGTTAATCAAATAGATTGAGAAATTTTGTGTAAAACGGAAATTTTTCGTACAGAGAGAGATAAGAACGTCTGTTATAAAAACAATACGACAATTACATATCCTCACAATTAGGTTTTGTACTGTGATTGAATTGAACAACTTGTTGTGATATGCGTAAATAAAGTAATCGTGCCGATGAAATAATTCGAAGACAAAAGTCACATATCCTAGAAAGCGTAAACGAGATAGCGTACCAAGGCCTTATTCGCTACTTCACAGTAGACTATAGTGTGACGCAGAGCATTTTCTAACTTTAATAGTTAATTTCAAAAAAGTCATCGAGAGAATTTGTCGTGCATTTATTGCATATTAAACTGATATAGATGCTGTTTATATCATGTAAAATTGAAGCAACTGTTGATTAATCGCACATATTTAACAGTTATGCGTGTCAAAAGAATATTCAATCGGCTAATTGTATTGTTGTTTTTAAAATTATAGAGCGAATGAGATTTTATTTAAAATTGAAGAAATAACGAAGTATACAGAATAGTCTCCTAACCCGTAATAAATAATCTTGCACTGAACTAAAAATATTTCGTTTCGAAGCTGTGATTAAAAAAAAGAAATTACACATATTGTCATTTATTTTTGAGACTTACATTTAAAAAGTCTAAAAACTACATCTATTTTTCACATTTCGAATAGTTATCGACAAGTGTTGTTGACATTGCAATTTATCGATTTTTCTCCTTACAGGTGTTCAATAATCTTCTTTACGTTTTGCGTAAAATATTTGAGAATTTACAAAGGGTAGTAAATTAAATTACGCGTAGTAAATTAAATTTCCCTCATTGTATGCATCTCAATAATGGGCAACATCAAAGTCGAAAACCGACCGAAAGGCGGCGCACCTCGCCTCGATGTAGCATCAGCAACGAAATCGGAGTCACTTTGTCGTAACAATTCCTGCAGCGTCTGCTTTATCCTGAGTTTAATTTGCATCTATCTGGCAACATTAATCGTTCTACTAGATCAAACTGTCGTCGAGGCAGCAAGCTACGATCAACATGGTAAGAGCATAAAAATTCAATTGTCAGTCTCAAAGTGGAGTTTCTCAAAAATTGCTCCTGTATTAATAATATGTCATGCTTACTAATTATGTCGTAGATCCATAAGTTTTTGAAAAAAAAAAAAAGATTATTCTGCAAAAAAAATTACAAAATCGCTTTAAAATATAAATCGGCATTTAGCGCGTTTAACGAAAATTTAATATTCAACATGTTTACACTTAGGGCCAGTTTCACAACTCACGATTAACTCTTAACCGAGATTCAATTTGTTTCTCATCTCTTTTCAATTCTAAAATTAGAAAGAAACAATGAATAAGTTAAACCTCGGTTAAGAGTTAACCATGAGTTGTGGAACTGGGCCTTAGTCAACGCAACCGGCAACATGACAAGCTTCTTGGGTATCTCATATGAGTGTCATGATTTCTTGGCGGTAGATTTAAAAATTTTTTGTAAATTCTAGCAGTTCTCTTCAGTATGGTGAAATAACACAGTGAAATAGCATCTTTCTATATTTTACGACTAGTTGGAGCCTCTTTTTTTTCGAAAATAAACAAAAATTACTTCACTCTATGACGAAACATTTTTTACACTTTTTTACAATAATAATAATAATTCTTATCCGAATAATTTACCTGCATTCAATATAATTAAGAAAATGGAACAAATTATGTCTATTCTCTCTCCTAAGAATATTATTTAAGTTTGGCTGGTAATTAGCTAATTAGTTAATGTTGCGGGTAAAGAATATTTAAAAGAATTTATTGAGAAATTTATTAATATTTTAATGAAAAATAAAATTATGATTAGATTTTACTAGAAACAATTAGATACGATCTATTACTGGATACAGTTCTTCTATCGAAGAGAAAAAGTGAACTTTATTGTTATCAGACTTATTATTTAACAAAATTATTTTCAATATATCAAAAGTTATTTTTAAAACTTGAAGTATAATTATCGATTAAATACGCGACACGTTCACACACCTACGAACTGTTCAAATCGACTCAAAGCGAACTCATGTTCAATCGAAATCATGTTCTAATTTGCTGATCAGCTGATCGGGGAAAAACTTGTGCGCGAAAAATGAACCACATTTTACTGGGGCTCGCTATTATACGTTTAAACGAAAATACGTTTACACGTATAATTAGTATATCCGTTTATTAGAAACGTTTTTCCAAATATACGTGTAATTAACTATACGAAAAATGAACCACATTTTACTGGGGCTCGCTATTATACGTTTAAACGAAAACACATTTACACTATAATTAGCATATCCGTTTATTAGAATCGTTTTTCTGAATATTTTCACTTTTTTTATATAAACGTTTATCCCTTTATTAAGGAGTGTGACGAATTGAGAAAATGCAAAAAATTCGATTTTTAATTTTATTAAAAAACGTTAAAATATTCGAAAAGATGTTTTTCATAGATGGATATGTTAAATATACATGTAAATGTATTTTCGTTTAAATGTATAATAAAACACGTATATTCGGAAAAATTCTTTTATAAACGGATATGCTAATTAAACGTGTAAACGTTTACCTTCAAGTAAACGTTTTTTTGAAAGCGAATATAAACGGATAAACGTTTTACATTTACACGTATCTTCGAAAAACGGAATAAAATTAGAGATCTACATTTTACAGCGATCTAGTTACAATAATTTAGTTTATAATAATTAATTTAATAATTTATAATGATTTAAATTAAACAAATATTTTATATTTGCATCTTAATAAAAATATTATTTCACACATCCATAACGATCAAGGTTCAGTAAAATAACTGTTACAATTTATTTAAAATGAAAAATATAAAATGAAGTGCAGAAACTCATTTAAAATATAAACTTGCAGGAAGCGATAAAAAAACTGATACGGCTTATTTAAAACAGAAAAACGTAAAATATTCAGAAAACGTACTTAAAATATCTGATAAGAAATAGATTAGAATAAGTTATTTAAAATAATAAATACTAAATAACTCTTATTTTTTTAAAGCTATATATTTTAAAAAATTTGTTTTAAATACGATCTATCCTTGGCTGATATAATTTATTTAAAATAAAAAATATAAAATACGTTCTAAAAACTTATTTAAAATATTAAATAAGTCAGAAGTTATTTAAAATAATAAATACTAAATAACTCTCTCTCTCTCTCTTATACTTTTTTTATTTTAAAACATACATTTAAAAAAAAGTTTATTTTAAACACAATCAAGTCCTAATAATGACGAACCTCTTTTTCTCTCTCTCCCTCTCTCTCTCTCTCTATTTCTCTCTCTCTCTCTCTCTCTCTTTCTAAAAATATTTTATATTGAGTTCCCTTTTGGCTCAATCGGTAACTAAATTTTGCTTTTAATTTATTGTAGAATAACATCCGGCCTTTTATTTCCTTATTGATTACATCAGCATATATATAAAATTAATCAAATATAATCTTAATCAAATAAAAACTATAGCCCGTATTCATAGTCAGGTCTTATATTTAAAGCTTCCTTAAATTTATCTTCAGATGCTCCACGAATTATTTCATTGGCTACTGAGCATCTCAAGATAAATTTAAGGAAGCCTTAAGTACAAGATCTGACTATGAATACGGACTATTTTCTAGGTATTTATCCGAGCAATTTACGACTATTATTTATAGATAATTATTAATTAGAGATAATAATTCTGTTTGCAGATTCGAATAGATCAGAGGCATATACAACATCGTTTGATTCCAATGAAAGTTTTATATTACCAAAAAAAGTCATACCTCTCCATTATAATATTTACTTACATCCGAAGCTTAAAGAGGGTACATTTTCCGGAAAGGTGACCATTCTCATTAATGTCAAACAGGATTACAACAAGAGATTCATAGCTCTTCATCAAAAGAGTCTCAATGTCAAATCTGCAAAATTAATGATGTACGATTTAGATAAAAACTATGAAATTAACATCTCTTGCATCAATAAACCTTCCAAATATGAGATTTTTACGATATTAACTGAAAACGAGATTAAATCCGGATTATATCACTTGAGTTTAGAATTTGACGGAAGTCTAAAAGACAAAATGGACGGATTTTATTCCAGCACATATCAGTATACGAGTGGTAAAATTAATAAAACCAGGTAATATAAATTTATCATTTTACAAATAATGTACAAATTTTGTGATAAATTTAATTTACATTCGTTTTTAATTTCGCGATGTGATAAAATATATAATGTATCTTTTTTAATCAACAGGTACATTGGGACTACCCAGTTCGAACCAACTTATGCTAGACAAGCTTTTCCGTGCTTCGATGAACCCCATTTGAAGGCAAAATTTTCGATAAAACTGGTTTATCCTATGGATAATGGCTATCATGCTTTGTCCAATATGAATGTAAAGGTAGACGAATAATTTTTGGAGGCATTAATTGTCATTTCTTCCGAAAACCTATTAAACTATTAAACAGTTTATTGAGGAGTTATTTTTTTTGTTTCAGAGAACGCAGGTACATACACCGAAACGTAATCTAGCAACAGTGACCTTTGCAAAAAGTGTACGTATGTCCACGTACCTAGTTGCTTTTGTTATTAGCGACTTTATCGGCACAAGTAAAATGGCAAAGGGCTTAAATGGGCGAGAATTTCCGGTTAGTGTTTATACCACAAGACTTCAATCGAAGGAGAAAAGAGATTTTGCAGTGGATATTGGTGTAAAAGCTATCGAATATTTCATAAACTTATTCAAAATAGATTATCCATTACCAAAACTCGGTAAATATGCAACAATAGATTACAAAAAAAGATTTATTAATTAAAATACAAATAAATTTGTTATATACATTTAAAGATCTCGTAGATTTATTAAATTCGGAAATATATGTATATACAAAACTTTATCTATTATGCAGATATGGTTGGAATTCCCGATTTTAAATTTGGCGCTATGGAAAATTGGGGCATAGTGACTTACAGAGAAACAAGGTTGATTTATGATGACCGTAGTAACTCCATTTATGATAAGCGCGCAGTAATTATCGTAATCTGTCATGAACTAGCACACATGTGGTTTGGAAATCTCGGTAAATATATCATATCTCAATTAAATGTGGATTAATGAAAACATAAGCTTCTTTTTTTTTTCAGTTACTATGAACTGGTGGAATGATTTATGGCTCAATGAAGGTTTCGCTACATTTATGGCTTCTAAATGTGCAGACGCGATTGTACCAAACCAGGGATATGTTAGTTTCTCAAAAATGATATAATCATACATTGATATAACAATTTAATATATGAAGATATATCAATATATACATAATATAGAAGATATATCAATAATATATAAATATTATTTTCAGATGGAGGAATTTCCTATTGAAGTAATGCAGAATGTGTTTGTTACTGATTCAAAATTAAGCTCTCATCCTATCGTTGATAATGTCCAAAATACAGCTGATATTGCATCATTCTTTGATGACGTATCTTATCAAAAGGTATGCGAATCTAATACTTTGATATAGTAGTTTTTATACTGTTTACTAATTTTTTATCTCATTTATTTACTCAAACTGCTGTCTATTTTAGGGATCATCTATAATCCGCATGATGGAAAATTTCTTTGGATCTGATGTCTTCTTCGGTGCAATTAGTACCTATTTGAATAAGTATGCCTATAAGAATGCAGAGACGGGGGATCTCTTCGAGGTTTTGCAAGATGCAGTTGGAAACAAATTAAATGTAACAGCTGTAATGGACACTTGGACGCGACAAGAAGGCTTTCCCGTTATTAACTTGGAAAAGTCTGAAAACAAATTTATATTAACTCAGAAACGATTTTTGGACGATCAAGATGCCAAATTCAATCCTTCAGAATCCAATTACAGGTGAGTTGCTTTATCTCGAATTATTTTATCTACTGTAATTGGCAAATTTATTTCAAATTATGTTACATCTTACAGATATCGATGGACCGTACCCATTACTTATATCACTAACAGAAACAAGAAACCCACTCTTGTATGGTTCGACAGGAATGCGAATAAATGTTAGATTTTGTAATTTATAATCTTTTTGTACGAATTGTTTCCACGCTATTTGATTCTTCTTCTTATTGTAAAATTTTACAGTGGTGATTCAGGTCGATAGACATACCAAATGGATTAAATTAAATGCAGGTCAAATTGGTTTTTATCAAGTTAATTACAAAAAGGAATGGAAAACTTTCAAGGAGTTGTTTCGTTCTTACCATACGGTAAAATTACGCAATTTTTCCGATTATGCAAATTATAAACAAAAAATTATTACTTTATAGATTAATACGTTATTCTCGCTTTCTAATTAATAATCTCTTTGAAAGTTTACTTACACCTACTTTTTTTTTATTGCAGAAAATATCCCCATTGGATCGAGCGAATCTTTTGGGCGACATGTTTAGTTTAGCTGATGCTGGTGAGATCGAATATGACACTGTAATGGATATAAGTGTATATCTCATCAAGGAAAATCATGCTCTTCCATGGATGGTTGCGAAATCGAAATTGATGACAATGCATACTCTGTTAGCTTCTTCATCTAAACCGTATATTGCGGACAAGTTTCAGGTAATATATTAATCATATTGTTACAAATTACTTTTCAATGCCGTTATGAATATTATTTTTTCATGTACATGATACATTTTTAGTCTTTCATATTGAGATTGGTAGACGCCGTCTACAAGAATAATGTAGCTTGGCTCGATAAGACACACACAACTAAGGATGTGCCGTTAACACACATGAACAGAATACTGCGATCTACGGTAATCGAATTGGCCTGTGCAATGGGTTCACCTGAATGCCTAAAAAGAGTCGGAGAGTTTTCTAAGGAATGGCTGATAGAAAAGAAGCCGCAGCGTCCTGATATTCGCGAATTGGTTTATTACTATGGTTGGTCTATCTAACGTAATCATCCATTTCCCGAAATCATTCGATTATCGAAAAGTTCTAATGGAATGTAAAATCTTTCATTAGGTATGCGTTATCATTCAGATAAGAACAAGTGGAACGTCATGTTCGAAAAATTTAAAAACGAGACTGATCCTAATGAGAAAAATAAAATAATGATAGGATTATCAGGCATAAAATCCACTAAAGTTTTAAAAGAGTTAGTATTAAATCTATTAAATTGACAATTTTTAAAACATATTTCTTAATCAAAATTAAGTAATAATTTCTATTCTTTTTTAGGTACATTACCAGAGCAACTAATGAGAAATATGTCCGTACTCAAGATTTCTTGAGATGCTTGACTATGATTTCCAGAAATCCCAATGGAACATCATTGGTGTGGAACTGGGTACGCGAGAACTGGAAATTTTTGGTGAATAGGTACACTCTGAACGATCCATATCTTGGTCGACTTATACCATCCATTACGCGTTCCTTCGCTACACAAAGTAGACTAGATGAGATAAAAGCCTTCTTCAAGAAATATCCTGAAGCTGGTGCCGGTGCTGCTAATCGAGCCAAAACTCTCGAGATAGTCTCAAAAAATATCAAATGGCACGCTAAAAATGTTAAAAAACTTGATAAATGGTTCTCAAAAAACTGGGTGCTTAATAAGTCCTATTAAATGTACCAACACAGTATGTCGATATACAAGACCGCTGAAAAAGATGAAAGACTTAACATACATCGATTTTTAATAATTATATTTAAAAGCAAAGTTTTCTTAAATCTTGGTATCATATTCCTTAACTGTTGAAAGTATTACCAGTAGTTTGAAGATAATTAATTGTGATTTTGTATGTTACTACGAACAGTTGTTACGAAGAAGAACATCATTCTTACAAAATATGGTTAAGGAAAATATTCAATATATCAAAATCACATTGTAATCAAATCTTTTGATTTAGTCACACAATTTTTGTGGTAATGGTTGCCAGGTATCCTAAATAAGAAGGCAATTTTTATTATATCTATCACATTTTGTTAACACTAGTAACTATTATCTTCAAATGTAGATTTTTTGTCTCATAAGATATATGAAAATTCGTGAATGTGTTGAATCTATTACAAAATCACACACACACACACACACACACACACACACACACACACACACACACACAAATCGCATTTTTCAAATAGCCAGTGATTAATAAAATATTGTAAAGAAGGATGATACATTTTTTTAAACATGTTTATTTTTAAAGAATTAAATATCAATCTTAATATTTGAATAAGTTTTATAACAAAAATTATTAGTTGTCTATTGCTTATATAATAGTTTCAAGATTAAAATATTTTGGAAATATTGTGACTTTAAAATTTACTAAATTTAAAATAAACTAAACTTCGATAATAAGTATGACATTATAAATTTAAAATAAATAAAGATACAGGGTATATAAGAGCCAACCGCAGAACTTGATGCCTAAATTAAATTATATTTTTAATGTACAGATCATAAAAATTCAAGAATGATGTCCAACTTCAAGAATATCATACGTTGTTGCTTTACATACATTTACTTTGCATATTTCTACTTTATATAAACATATTTTATAATATTAAAAAATATTATAAAAAATATTATTAGGAATTATTATACAATGAAAAAATTTAAAAAATATTTTAATTGTACATGAAATCATTCACACATATAAATTAATCTTATAATGCAACAGTATGAATGAATCAAGCGTTCCTAATTGTACTTTCAAAAATACGATATGAATACGCTCTAATTATTAGCTTCACCTCGTGACTAGCTAGAGGGGTGGGAGTCGTTAATTATATCAATTTCGACGGATGTTAATGAACGTGTGTGTACGCGACGGTTAATTCAAGTCAATTTTGCTAGCGAATTTGAATGCAAGTCGGCTGTCACCGACATTGTGTAATATCCAATTAAGAACGATTTTCGTTAGAGAATCGGCTCTTGCCATACTGTCACCAACGGCACTTAAACGCGCAGTTTCTCTCGAATGATCGAGCGAGAAGGAGATCGAGAAGTGAAATTGAATGATAGATCTTTAACTAAGATACAGTTCCACTAGATGTTTAATTTATAAGTCTCCTTAGCGTTGTGTTTAAGTACTTCTTATTGTATTTCTTGTACTTCGCGTAGTGTTTCTTGTATTTTAATTTACTGTGTAACGAAAGAGCTTATGGGAAGCAAATATATACAAAGTATGTGTGAATTTGTGTAATGAAACAATTATATTTATAATTTTCAAATAATAAATAATAATTAATATTGAGAGAATAGAATTCTAAGAAATAAAATTCTATTTTCCTGTACTTTTCTTTTTAAATAAGAATATGTGAAAATATAAAATCGTTAAAGTTGAAAGAATTCTCAGAAGTATTTGTAATAAATCGCATCGCATTATTGTAATGAGCGAGTGAATATTTTCTGGAAAATATTATTAATTAATAAAATTGTTTTTTTTCTAGTAATTTGTATCTTTGTGATTTATTTTTAGACAAAAAGAAACTGCTTTAATTATTACAGTGAGAGAATTGTGACAGCAATTTTTGAAATGAGTGGATAAGAAATTTTATAACTATTTTGAATATTTTTGAATATTTTTGACAGCAATATTTTAAATGAACAAATAAGAAATTTTTACAATCATTCAAACATTTTTTTCTGAATTTATCATTACAGCATACAACCGAATGTTTAGTATAATATTTAAATAAAATAATTTAGTAATTCTAGAAATGCATATATAAGATTCTTGCATTTAAAGTAGCAATGCAAAAAATTAATAGAAAAGTAACTGGAAACTAAATCGTTACTTTTTAAATAACTACAACTGTAATGTATTACTTTTCAGAATTCTGTTATAATTTCTACGATACCAACGCATATTGTGATCACCTTGACTTCATTGAAAGTGACGTGAAATCGAGAAACAAAAAAAGAGAGAGTTGATAGAAATGTTAAAGCAATACAAGATCGTTGTCAATCGGATAGACTAGAAAATTTAATGTAGCATGGAAATTTTCCAGATACACAGAGATAAGAACATTTGCTATAAAAACTCTACGAGGGATCGCATATTCTCATTTTTGTTTCGTATAATAATTAGCTTGTTACTCGATATGCGGGTAACGTACCGATGAATTAATCCGAGGACGAAAGTCACGTGTTCTAAAAAGTACGAACGAGCAAGGTGAGTTTTATCATACTACTTCGTAGTTTTATTTATACTGTAAGCTGCATGAAAAGGTACCTTTAGACGTTATTACTTCGAAATACGATTTGTCCTGAACTAGAATAGTGCGACACACACATTATCTATTTAATCTCTTCGGTCGAATAAAAATTTGAAACACAGTAAGAGAATACTGCTTTATTTAATAATAATATATTTTTTAATAAAATTGTACATTTATTATTTGCATAAGAAAGTAATTCAAATTTTTCAATAATTAATTCGTAACAGTCTTATGAAGAAATGACGCAACGAATCATATTTCAATCGAAGTTTGCATGCGCGACAGAACACGTGTGCATTCTATAGATAGTGCGCCACGCATTAATTTATCTCATATATCGAGTGCAGTGGACTGTGGCGCATGCCTCTTCCTAACTGCAATAATTTATTTCTAACAAGTCACCAAGAGAGTTTGTATCGTCATTTATTGCCCACATTAAGCTCATATAGATGCTCTCTGCGTCACATAAAATTGGAGCACAAAGACCCATTTTGATCAATTACACTGTTCGACAAAAAGTCACTTTTTTCTTTTTGAAATGCCATTACATATACCTAATACATTCCCCGAAGATTTTTTCGCGATGTTAGCAGAATTTTTATAGCATATCAGGATATTGAGTAAATGGAGATGAAATATTTGTAACCATTTTCAACATTTTTATAACGGCATAACAAAACCTTGTTTTTAAATAAAGTCTACAGCATATAAAATACAATTCAAGAATTTTCAAATGAATTTTAGTTTATGATTGTACGACTTATTTTCATTAAGTTAAATTATTTGAATTTTAAATTTCTGTATAAATTTCACAAGTTTAATAAAAAAGACTTTTTTTCTCTTTGAAGTGTCGTGGCATGTATTATACGTACTAGAAAGATTTATTTACGCTAAATATGATGCTATCGTCAGAAGTTTTAATTTTTTATTAAATTGAAATATAATGGGATGATTTTTGGTCTTCACTATATTAAAAATCCTGATACACAAATTCTAATGATGGCATCATTACAAAAAAATCTTCGGAATATGTATATATACTATAACATTTTGAAGAAAATTTGATTATTGAATAGTGTTATACATGTTTACCAATCATGTATGTCGGAAAAATATCTAATCGAATAGTTTTATTGTTATTTTTACAATTACAGAATGGCCCAACTCGCTATAAATAGGGAAAGTGGAGTAATTATGCGCAGTGATTAATTGTGCGCATTCTGGTTTGACACTTTCTCGATAGATGGAGATACTACCGCGGGGAAATTTTTAGGCTAGAGGTAGATACAACCATAAGTTATATTATTTAAAAGTGTAATTAATAGTCAAAGAGAGAAAAAGTAAAATTGTATATTTTGAGAATAATTTTGACATCAGAACATAAGACGGTAAGTCTTATTATAGTTTATATTACCGTAAAGTATGTTATTATGTGTGTCTTTTGAGCTATTATTTATTGAACTAAATTAAAAAGTTTTTGAGTAATCGTGTTTCTTATCGAGTCAGTTTGGCAAATACATTTTGAAATATACGCAGTTACCCGTCTTGCATATGCTGTATGACTATAGCATTGTTTTTTTTTTCGTTTTTTCTTTGTGTTATTTCAGATGCTTCGTAAATATAAATTGGACTAATTGTAAGACTCAGTTACAATTTAATTTTTCCAATTTTTTAATTATTTTTTCAAATTTTGTATTAATTTTGTATTAACTAATATATTGATTTAATAAATATATTTTGTTATTTTCTCATTATCAATATTCCATAAAACATTTATTTTATTTATTTCCTACAATTTTTTTGCTTTGCGCACAATTACCCAATCTATACGCACAATTAGACGACGAAATTTTTTTGCTTTTACTGTTTTTACGTTTTATCAAATACAACATTATCAAATGAAGAATTGTTCAATGTGAAAATGGATTATATATCGATAAAAGAATATTTATAGTTTGAATTTATACGCTTATATATCGAATTCAACTTCAAAAACTACTCCATAGCATATAATTCCCCTCACTTTCTTCTAATCGTTGAATTTCAAATGTTTGTTTGGAAAAGATTGTAATTTAAATAAAAAACTATTTACACGCATTTTCAATTTGTTTTTCATCCATTTTAAAAAATATAAAAATTTACATTTATTGTTTATTGTTTATATCTCGAATAGTTATTCGACGTTAATTTTATAATTATCGATTTTTTTTTCTTTACAGGGATTTTTGATCATCTTCTTTACGTCTCGCGTAAGGAAAATCCTCTTCTAAAGGATATTAAATTAAATTATTCGGTTTTCTTTTGTTTTATCCCAATAATGGGCAACAACAAAGTCGAAAGCCGACCGAAAGGCGGCGCGCTTCGTCTCAATGCAACACCAGTAACGATATCGAAGCCACTTTGTAGTAACAACACCGTTTCCGCTCTCCTCTGTTTTACCTGCGGTGCTTGCTTTATCTTGAGTTTAATTTGCACCTGTCTGGCAATATTAGTCGTTTTGCTGGACCATACTGTCGAGGCAACGAGCTACAGTCGACACGGTGAGGATTCAAAAAATTCAACTGTTATCAGTGATAAAGTGTACAGTTTCTACGATCAAAAATTGCTCTCGTTTTAATGTCGTGCATATTAACTACGTCTCAGATCCACAAGTTTCTGAAAAAAGAAATTGTTCCGTAAGAAAAAGACAAAACTGTTCGCAAAATACAAGTACACTTATAGTTCATTTAACGAAAGCTTATCAATGAGTTATCACCTTTGTCAACGCAACCGGCAAAGTAACATAAGGCCTGTTCTTTTTGGCTGAACTTTTGCACCAGTTCATCTTTCTTCCTTTTCTCTTCAGGAAGAAAGAAGAGGAAGAAAGACGAACTGGTGCAAAAGTTCAGCCAAAAAGAACAGGCCTTCTGTCTCACACGAGTCTCGTGATTACTTGGCGGTAGATTTAAAAGTGCCTTTGTAGATGATGTTCTCCTGAGTACACTGGCACAGCAAAATAGCATCTTCCAGTATTTTAAAATTTGTTGGTCTTTTTTTGGAAAATATACGAGTCACTCACATATTACTGAAGATAGATTTTTTATACTTCTTCAAAAAATAATAATAAATTTTATCCGCAAATGATTTGCCTGTATTACAATACAGTTTCAAGAAAATATGACAATTTATGTTTATAAGAATAATAATAAAGATTATTAACAGATAGAAAAATTTATTAGAAAATTTTTATATTTTTAAAAGAGAATTACAATTTAACTGTAAAGTTCTTCTGTTGAAAAGAACTTCATATTATCAGACTTATTATTTTTTGACAGGTAATTTTCGAAATATCAAAAGTTGTATTTGAAATGCATTTAAAGTTCGGTTATCGATTACACATGTAAACATTCATACGTCCATGAACTACTTAAAATAAGAGGTAGGAAGGAAACCTATATGAGCCAAAGGAGTTGAACGGTGCATATAGGCATTAAACTATATATATATATATTGTTTATATTTTTCCTAATACAATTACAATTGTATAAATAAGTCACATATTCGACCCAGGTTTTTGTCCTCTTTATTTATTGATAATGTGAGATAATAAATTCCGATTGAATCTTCTATCCATAATTGCAGTCTAAATACTCCGATTTCATCAGTCAGGTGTTTAAAATAATTAGAATCATCATGTTAAAGTACTTAATACATATATATATACATAAATAGATAAAAGATGAGATTTTAGAAGATGTGATGAATATAATAGCCATATTAACAGAATGCTAAATCTATTTAAACTGACAAAAAGCGAGTGTCCACTCAGTGCTCCGATTTCATGATCAGCTGATCAGAAAGAAACTCGTGCTTAAAAAATGCTTTATATTTTACAGCGGTAATGTGTAATATATAATTTAAATTTAGCAAATATTTCATATTTGCAATATAACGCAAATATTAATTTACTATAATACTGACCATCCAAAATAACACATCACCTTCTAAAAATATTTTATTCGGATCGTTACTCTGACTTGGTTATAGTTCTCCTTAAACTTCTAGGCTAAATCAAACAGTAGCTAAATTTTGTTTTCAATCTACATTGCGGAATAATAACCGGCATTTTGTTCCCTTATTGGTTACATCAACATGTAAGATCAATCGAACATGATATTTGTCAGATAAAGACTTTAAGTTTATCTGCGTGCAATGTGATAAGTAATGATTATTTATAGATAACTAAAGATAACTATTACATAATATATTAATTCTGTTTGTAGATTCGAATAGACCAGAAGCATATACAATAATGTCTGATCCTGATGAAAGCTTCAGATTGCCAAAAGAAGTCGTACCTATTCATTATGACCTTTACTTGCATCCAAAACTTAAAGAAGGTACATTTTCCGGAAAGGTGACCATTCTCATTGATGTCAAACAAAACAACAATAGGACATCCATAGCTCTTCATCAAAAGGATCTCAACATCACATCTGTAAAATTAATAACGTATGGACTAGATGAAGACTATGAAATTAATATTTCGTCCATCAGCAAGCCTACTAAATATGAAATTTGTATGATAACAACTGAAAACGATATCAAATCCGGATTATATAACTTGAGCCTGGAATTTGATGGAAGCCTCAAGGATAAAATAGTTGGATTTTATAACAGCAAATATCAGTATAAGAGTGATAAAATTAACGAAACCAGGTAATATAAACTTTTTCTTTTACTAAATAAAAACTGCACAAACTTTATAATAAATTTAATTAATTTTTTATTCATTAATATAGTAAAATAGATTATAATATATTCCGTATATTTTTTTAATCAATAGGTACATTGCAACTACCAAATTCGAGCCAACTTATGCTAGACAAGCTTTCCCGTGTTTCGATGAACCCAACTTTAAGGCAGAATTTTCGATAAAACTAGTTCATCCTATGAATGATTGCTACAGTGCCTTATCCAATATGGATATAAAGGTACGCAAATAATTTTTGATTGCAATAACTGTCACTTTTTTCGAAAAACTGAAATTGTTAAACAGTGTATTGAGGAGTTATTTTTGCTTTAGAGTACGCAACTACATACACCGGAACGTGATCTAGCAACAGTGACTTTCACAAAAACTGTACCCATGTCCACGTACCTAGCTTGTTTTATTATCAGTGACTTTGTTGGCACAAGTAGAATGGCGAACGGATTAAATGATCGAAAATTTCCGATCACTGTCTATACTACAAGACTGCAGTCGAAGGAGAAAAGAGATTTTGCTTTGGATATTGGCGTGAAAGCTGTCGAATATTACATAAACTTATTCAAAATAGATTATCCATTACCAAAACTCGGTAAATATGCAAAAATAATTTATGAAAAAAGAATAATTGATTGAAATAAAATTAAATTTGTTATACATATTTAACTATCTCAATAGATTTATTTTCAAGTGTACATTTATATATATATATATATATAAAACTTTATTTATTAATGTCATTAACGTAATCTGTCACGAATTGGCGCATATGTGGTTTGGAAATCTCGGTAAATATTTTATACAAATTAACTGTAGATTAATAAAAATGTAAGACATACTTTTTTTCAGTCACCATGAAGTGGTGGAATGATTTATGGCTCAACGAAGGTTTTGCTACATTCATGGCATCTAAATGTTCAGATGCGATTTTACCACATCAAGGATATGTTAGTTTTTAAATAATTTAATTATACAGTGATATAAATGTGTAAAATAAGATATATATATATATATATCTGTAATATTTAATATTGTTTTCAGATGGAGGAATTTCCTGTTGAAGTAATGCAGAAAGTGTTCGTTCCCGATTCAAAGTTGAGTTCTCATCCTATAGTTTATAATGTCCAAAATGCAGACGATATTACATCATTCTTTGATGGAATATCTTATAAAAAGGTACGTGAGTGTAATACATTGTTTGATAATGATTTTTGAGTTTTTTATTAATTTTGTATTGTCTGATTTACTTATTCGAACTGTCTATTTTAGGGAGCATCTATAATCCGTATGATGGAGAACTTCTATGGATCTGATATCTTCTTCAGTGCAATTAGTACCTATTTGAATAAGTATGCCTATGAGAATGCAGAGACGGCGGATCTCTTTGAGGTTTTACAAGATGCGATTGGAAACAAATTAAATATAACAGCTATAATGGATACTTGGACACGACAAGAAGGCTTTCCTCTTGTTAACGTGAAGAAGTCTGGAAATAAATATACATTAATCCAAAAACGATTTTTAGATGATCAAGATGCCAAATCCGATCCTTCAAAATCAAGTTATGAGTGAGTTACTTTATCTCGAGATATTAATCGATAAACTTATTTCAAAATTACGTTACATCTTACAGATATCGATGGACCATACCTATTGTTTATATCACTAACAGAAACGAAGTACCTACTCTTGTATGGTTCGACAAGGATGCAAATGAAGGTTTTACAACCTCTCTGCATGAATTATTAATATCATTTTCTCATTTTCTCTTATTATAAAATTCTATACTTTACAGTGGTGATCGAGGTCGATGAACGTACGAAGTGGTTTAAATTAAATGCTGGTCAAGTTGGCTTCTATCGAGTTAATTATAACGAGGAATGGGAAACATTCAATAAGTTACTTCGATCTCATCATACGGTAAAAGCATCACATAATTTTTTATTTAATACAAAAATTATAATAAATAAAAACTATGATTTACTTACAGATTAATACATTATTCTTAATTTCTTCGAAGAGGTTTACTTATTATATTTTTTATTACAGAGAATATCAATGTTGGATCGAGCAAATCTTTTGGATGATATGTTTAGTTTAGCTGAGGCCGGTGAGATCGAATACAATACTGTGTTGAATATAAGTATGTATCTCACCGAAGAGCATCATTCTCTTCCATGGGCGGTTGCAAAGTCGAAACTGATGACGATTTATACTCTGTTAACTTCCTCGACTGAACCATTTATTGCAAACACGTTTCAGGTAATGTCAATCGAAGTGTTATAAATTATTGTCTGACGCCATTGCAAATATTATTTTTACATAATCCATTTTAGTCTTTCGTCTCGATATTGGTAGACACCATCTACAAGGATGTATCTTGGACCGTCGATGATGCAATTGAAGAAGATGTGCCGCACATTGATAATAGAGTGCGACCGACGGTAATCGAATTAGCCTGTGCAATGGGTTCATCTGAATGCTTGAAAAGAGCCGGAGAACTTTTCAAGGAATGGCTGTTAGAAGAGAAGCCGCAGCATCCTGATATTCGCGAATTGGTTTATTACTATGGTTGGTCTATCTAATGTGATTCATTCCCTATATACAGGGTGTTTCCAAATTAAATGGCAAAACTTCGGGAGCGTGTAGAGGAGTAAAAAACTAAGAAAAAAAGTCCTATAGACATATGCTCCTTTTTGCTTTGTTTCGCAGGAAATCACGAAAAAAGAAAAAAATATATTTAATTTATTATTTTAATTATTTTATTTATAAACTTTTTAATGAAGATTTTGTTCGAAATGTGCACCTCTTGCAGCAATACAAGCATTGCATCTGTCAAACACGGCTCTTGTAGCAGCCAGGCACTGTTCTTGCGATATTCTGTTCGCTGCAGCTACGATACGATTTCTCAAATGTTGCTCTGATTGAATAGGCGAAGAATAAACTTCTTGCTTCAGAGTACCCCATGCATAGAAATCTAATGGCGTTAAGTCGGGCGAACGAGTTGCCCAATGTACTGCTCCTCCACGTCCAATCCATCGTTGTGGGAATTTTCTATCTAACCAGGTTCTAGCGACTCTGCTGTAATGAGCAGGGCATCCATCTAATTGAAACCACATTTCAGTACGTTGTTGTAATGGGATGTTTTCTAAATAGTCAGAAAATTCATTCTCCAAGAAATTTAGAAAACGGTCCCCATTTAATCTTGCAGGTAAAAAAAACATTTTTTTTCGATTTCTCTGAAACGGAGCAAAAACGAGCATATGTCTATAGGACTTTTTTTCTTAGTTTTTTACTCCTCTACACGCTCCCGAAGTTTTGCGATTTAATTTGGAAACACCCTGTATATTATTTGAGTATCAAGAAATTTTAATGGAACGCAAAATCTTTTATTAGGTATGCGCTATCATTCGGATGCAAGTGAGTGGAGTACTATGTTTGAAAGATTTAAAGACGAGACTGATCCTGGCGAGAAGAATAAAATAATGGCAGGATTAGCAGGGATACAATCCATTGATGTTTTAAAGGAGTTAGTATAAATCTACTCTTCGTAATTTTTAAAATATACTTTTTATTAAAATCAGATAATATAATTTAACTCCTTGTTTTTAGATATATTATCAGAGCAACTGACGAAAGATTTGTCCGCGCTCAAGATTTCTTGAAATGCTTGATTATGATTTCCAAAAATCCTGACGGTACATCGTTGGTGTGGGATTGGGTACGCGAGAACTGGGAATTCTTGGTGAACAGATACACGTTGAACGATCGATATCTCGGTGATCTTATACCATCCATTACAAGTTCCTTCGCCACACAAACAAAGCTGGACGAAATAAAAGCTTTCTTTGAGAAATATCCTGAAGCCGGTGCCGGTGCAGACGGTCGAGCCAAAACACTCGAGACAGTTTCGAAGAATATCAAATGGCTTGCTAAAAATACTAAAAAATTCGATAAATGGTTCTCAGAAAACTGGCCATTTAATAAAACCCGTTAAATATACAACAAAAATATACAAGATAGCTGAAAAGGAAGAAAGACTTAATACATACCAATTTTTAACAGTTATGCATAAGAACAATTTTTTTAATCTTAGTATTTTATGCGTTAACTGCTGGAAATCACTGGTAGTCTGAAGATAACTAATTGTGGTTTTGTATGTTAATTACTGTTAAAAAAAAGAAACTGTTCAATAAGAACGTCAAAATTTTCTTGCGAGATACGGTGCACAAGAAAATTGTATTCAATACGCTGCAATTACATTATGTGTGATGAAATTTATTCTGTCACGTAATTAATAATTGTGGCAGCATTATCAGATATGCTAAATACGAATTAAGGTACATATGCATTTGTGCGAAGCATATACCTTTTATGCAAGGCATTTATAAATCTTGATACTGAAATATATACAACTTTATAGAAATATAATTTTGCGATTAAATACAGCACGTTTAATATTGTCAACTAACGATCTTTTCCCTAGTTGTAAATCTTTGATTGTCCTGTAAAGCCCATTCTACAATTGCATAAGCGTATGTAAATGATTATACTCTTCTTATATTCGATTGTGATTGATCAATTTTTACAATTATAATCACTTATAACTACGCAATTGTAGAATGAGCTTAGACATAAAAATGAAAATTCGTAAAGGTCGGATCTATTATAAGCTTCATCGTATTACGTTTTATTTCTCTTATAAGTGGTTTAATACACCTTGATTGGCCCGTTATGATCAATAATATAACGTAGAGAGGGATGATAAAAACGTTTTAATTCATCATAATACAGTGCGCGAATATTTCTTGCGATACTACGCTCCAAATGCTCTATATTACACAATATCTTTCCTTCTAAAAAAATTTTTATAAATTTATAAGAGACAGATTTTTCAAAATACAGATTTATTTAAAAAATTATTTGCGTAGTCGAATGTGGTTGTACTCATGATTTTTGTTTAATTATTGCCGCGTTTGCCGCGCGAACGGTCCTCTTCTGATTGTTATTTTTATTTTTTAAATTAATAGGTCTTAATAGATCTTTTAGTGTTGATTTTGACATCTTTATTTCACTTTCATTGTTGTTATTTAATTTTTTTATGAATAAAAATAATGAATAATGAATAAAATAATGTATCTCGTCATTTCAATTTCTGATTCTGATAGGGAATATCACGTGCAGAAACTGTCAACGACAGTTCACGATGTAACGGATATCGGTCGGCTATGAAACCATTTTGCAAGATACGAGAGGGCTTGTCGAAAAATGCAATATAGAATTATATGATTTTCCATTTTATTTGCGTTATCGAGAATTATTTTCATTATCCGAATAGAATCCGGTAGAGAAGAAACACGATACGTAAATTCGAGACATAAAACAGATTTCAAACTGTCGCACACATTGGTTTAACGTTACGTAAACATAGAGGTTCTTTTACAGCGATATGACATTTCGACAAATGCTCACTCGTTAAGCAACCAATCAAATACGCAATAGCTCTGTATCGCTAATGCAAATAATACGAGCGGTTTTAATCAAAGTAATATTGCGGAAAAATATTTTTTTGTAACAGGCAACTTGCGAAATTTTCTTTTATGACACATTATACTTATTATATAATTATAAATTTTTCTCTATGTTACATATATATATATTACTTTTATAATGTTAATTTTATATGTATTTATTGAACAGGGTCTTTTTAAGAAGATACATTATTTATCCGATATAAACATTCCACTTTTGCATTATTATATAGTAGGATGCATTATTTTCTGGTAATATTAAATTTGATATAATTTATAAGTTGAGTGATATCGAATAATGTAAATTTGTTTGTGAAGCTTTAGCCTTTAAACAACGGTTGTCTTATTAAAAAAATTTTAATCGAAATGTAAGTTGAATGTAAGAGGAGAGTAACAGAAGCGTAAATGAAGCTTCTAAAAGACGAAAATTGAGACAACAAAATATAAAAGAAGCGTAAACGTCTCTTTCACACTTCGTTGCTTTAATTTTCGCTGGAAGCTTTGTTTACGTTTCTATTACTCTCTCCTTGCATTAACTTATACTCCGATTTTTATTTCTGCCAGAACATTCAATATAATTTAAATTAATGTACCTTTGCACAAAATTAATATAATTGAATAATTTTTTTTCATTTTAAAGATCAAAATTCGAGGAACAGGATTATGTACCTTAGAATTATGTAAGATTATTAAAAAATATTTGTTATAAACAATTGTTCACAAAGTGTTAAAGAAAATGTCCGAAAAATAAGAAAACTTAAATCTTATTTTAATTGATAGCATTTTTTTAATATGAGAAGTTAACGTGGATTGTTTAAATTCCGGCAAATAGCTATAATTTGAATGTATAATTTCTCCATTCATGTCGAACGTTACTAGAGATTGCCATTATTTCCTCTCAATAAAAATGTCGGTTCATCACGTTCAATTGGCGCCTATCTTGTACAAGAAAAGGATCTGCCTTTTATTGGAACGAATGTCACAAATTCTCTAAATGATCACGTAAAATTGCTTCCCTTTTCTTCCGGATAGACCATTAGTAACAGAATCTGGCGAGTTTGGGGAGCAATCGATGTTTTCCTTACGGAAGTATTGAGAATATTATTCAAATTATAAACAGCTAATGAAAATAAAAAGCAAGTAAAACGAGAGACTGTATCTGCAGAGATACACAAAAGTTATGAAACTTTCTTATAATTTATGTCTTATAGTTTAAGGAGATCTCCTAAAGTGATAGAATTATCGAACATTACAAGTTAGAAAGTACTTTAACTTAATTATATATATATTGCAAAATTCTTTTATACTATTAAAATACGCACATAAAAGATGCGAGACAGTCGATTTTACGAGAAAATCCAAAAAAAGTAACAAAAAAAGTTGCAGCGTGCTAAATTGATTTAATATAATTTTTAACATAATTTTTTAATTTTTTTATTAAATCGACTGTTTCCCATTTTTTGGTTGCTTATTTTAATTAAAAGAATTTGGTAATTTACAGCCAATTCTAACTTGGGGCACTTTCTAACTTGAATTTTAATAATTTTATCACATTACGATCTCCTTAATAAATTAACTTATTTCAACACAAAATTATTTTAATTAAAAATATTTACATAAACAAAATAAAAATATTTAATACTGAAGATTAAAGAATTATTAATATGAAAATTAAAGAACCATTAAGTTTAGTATGTCAATTATTGATTTGATAAATAGAGGATGTTTTGTATGCCTTTAGCCAACGATTTGTTTACGTAAACAGATATATGCTTGATAGTTTTCGTATGGGTGCACATATGTTGCTGGATTAGCATTGGGCGTGTTGCGCAATAAATCATTCGGGCGTTAAATGTTTCCTACGTCGCTGCGTGAGCAGCTTTTGATCGAATCTTTCTTATGCGTTGCGATTGACAAAAATTGGTTCTCATACATTTACAATATTTGACTAAACTATTGCAAGAGCAATACTGACAATAAAATAAATGTGTCTAAAAGTTATATTTATCAATTAAATCAATTGCTTTTCAATTAAAGTTTTAGTAGCAGTGTTTTGAAGTTTAAAAGTTTAAGAAAGGTTAAAGATTTAATTTCAATTATGAAACTGTAAAATAATCGTAAAAAATAATCACAAAATAATACATTTATTTTTATTTACAAAAAAATCGCGAGGAGAGAAAAAGAAAGAAAATGTATAGTTAAAACTCATATTTTCAATAATTATGGAACTTTCTTTAAAATGATTATTTAAATATTATTTATAAATTGATTTTTCTGCAAGATTCTTTACTCTAGCATTTACATTAACACGAAAAATCCTAAATTTTTCAGACACTGTCCGTGTACCTGTATTAAGACAAACCAAACTTAATGAATTGAAAGTAGTGTAATAATTAATATAATTTGACAGTTTTTGTGCATTTATTTCCCATCTTCCTTCATTGACGTCGCAGCTACATTTGCGGTGCCCTTCGAATGCGTTCGTGCGTCACTTGTGGTTATAATCGAATCTCCATGGGGGCTAGAAAGATTGTGGTAATTCGTAAGAAAAATGATGATAAGAAGAATATCATTCAAGCAATTAATATCAATTGTATTAGCTCTTTTCCGTGTTTCAATTCTAGAGCATTAAAAGAAACTTCACCAAGATTCTCTTCTCTAGTACGTATCTCATTGCGCTCGTAGATTGAATAAAACTATTGTCTTAATTAATCTCACCCTTCAGTTTGTAGTTTTGTTATTTTCCTTATTCCGAATGTAAATCCTTTACAGATACGTTTACGCTAACACATGGATCTACAATATGCTCTTTACTTCATGTTCCTTTACTTCTAAATTCCTTTATAAAATTAATGCGATCTATAAAATTATGTAGCATTATTTTTATTCAAATTTTTTAGTTATCTCCTTCTATTTTTATAGTAAAATCTAATTTAACCTTCCTTTAGTAAGCATGACAAAACTTAAGTAGACAGATTTTTTACTCTAGTTTGTCACACTCCGATCTAATGAACTCCTGAAGTGTCTCTTTGTAGTTTTTTTTTCAAATATTTTGTTACAAATTCAGTTTAAATCCAATTATTTTCTAGACCTACTATTATCATATAAACATGATGTTTGAACTCTATATTTTTAATTCTTACATTAATGGTGCAATAGTGTATGTTTTATTGAATATGTTAAGCGATCTCAATCTTTTATACAATTTCAAAATTTCTGTTAACTTATCCCGCTGTGTACCTTATACGCAATTATTTTCTTCACAGAAAGAACCGAGAAGCAAACATAGTAGGTTTTACGAGCATGAGTGAATTTTTCCAAAATGAATTTTTCTACCCTTGGAAAAAAAATCGAAAAAATCCACGGAAAGTTGGCAAAATTGGGTTTGTTTCCGATCCTTTAAAACTATAAATTATATATAAACTTACATATAAAATTATATATAATTATATATAAAAAGACAAGAAACACGTGTGACAAGAAATACGATTGTCACACGATAAAACGATCATAAAGAGAGTAAAAGAAGTAAAAAAATAAGAAATAAGATACAAGAAGCAAAGAGCACAATAAATGATAAATTAGGTTTTATTTTCGGTTCTCAAATATCGTCGCTATTTAATAAACAATAAACGTATAGCAAGAAGTAATTTTTAATTAAATTACCATTCTATGGATTTTACCCTCGACTTAATCTTGATTTTTTTTCGTATTAAAAATCAACGATATTGTTACCAATGTTTTTCCAAGGTATCACGTAAACCGGCCACGAACAATCGTTGCAATTGATTTGTTAATTTTTTGTTTAACAAAAAAAGGACATGTCAACGAATATGTTTCTGTAGTCCAACGGCCGGATGGTCTTATGATTCGATCAATGGTTCTCAAAACTTGATCTGATAATCGTAAAAGGGGATGAATCGACGTTTCTCTTGAAGAATTTTATGAGATCTTCTTCACAATGATACTGGTTATTATCTCGAAATGATATGACGTTTCTTTATTATTTTGAAATATTAGTCGAGCTTCATGGAGTTCATAGCTTCTTCTGCTTTAAAATTACGGGAAAAGTATGAAGAATTTATGCTAAAAATATGGATATTATTAAGATCTATTCTCGAATAAAATACAATATTTCGTGCACAATACAAGAATAGGATAAGTAGAATTTCGTGAGAAATTTTTTTTCTTTATCGTTCCTCTTTTGAGTAATTTAAAAGTTTCTTGATATAAAGCACATTATAATAAATGCACATCTTCTCTACATATAAAGCACATTATAATAAATGTACATCTTTTCTGCATATATAAAAATAATAATAATGTTTCTATATAAAGCTTTGCGCCG